TTGATAACCCTAACCATCTCATCCTTTGCCGTCCCCGTCTTCTTTGACCTTCAATATTTCCCAGCATCAGGGTCTTCTCCAGTGAGTGCTCCCTTCTCATTTGGTGGCCAAAGTATTTGAGCTTCAGCTTCAGTATCTGGCCTTCCAGGGAACAGTCAGGGTTGATTTCTTTTAGGATTGACTGATTTGATCTCCTTGCAGTCCAAGGGACTCTCAAGAGTCTTCTCCAGCACCATAACTCGAAAGCATCTATTCTTTGGCACTCGGCCTTCCTGAGCCTTCGAGGAGGGTGGGATATAAATAAATAAATAAATAAAATGGTCCAACTCTCGCAGCCATACATTACTACTGGGAACACCATTGCTTTGACCATATGGACTTTTGCACCTTTATTATATATTTGTTTGATCCATTTTGGTATTTGGTGAAGCAGATTGTTACATATGGAGCTTGTGATCTTTAAAATAACCACAGAATAATTTGGTTCTGAATTTTACACCCATAAACAAATTCAAAAGGCGCATATGTCGAAACGGACTCATAAAACGGACTCCTGGCTGCCACCTACTGGGGATTAGGAACACTGCGTAACACGCATAGGCGTTCAATTTGCTACCTCAGCTCAAATGAGATGATGTGGAAGCCGTGAGGAGAATCTCCTGAATGGTTTTGGTTTTTTTTTTAATATAGGGGGGGGGGAGACTTGAAATTTGATGGGTGAAGGGAGGAAAACAGTACTTAACCTTTCCCCCTGCAGTCCATTGCCAGCCAAAAATTGCTCTCACCAGCTGCATTTCTCTTTACAGGGAAAAAAGATGCATGGACCTGGTATCTTTTTTCTTCCGTAGGTGGAAATTTAGCTGAAGGCAATTGCCATTGGATTTCAGCCCACCAGGAAGGGTATTAAGCACCTCCACCCCTCATATCACTTCTGCAAAGAAACAGAGACCCCCCCCCCTGAACACCACCAAATAGATCATATTTATATCCCAACCTACCTCAAAGCAAGCAGCCTTGTGAAATACTACCCTCACAACAGCCTTGTGAGATAGAGTAAATAATCTAAGGTTTTTGAATGCATGTGCCTTTCCACCTCCACATCCCCTAGCTTCTCATAAGAGCTCTGAGATTTGCCTGTGTTGATTCATACAATTAGTCAGCCCTGGCCATGTATATAAAACTGCTCTGTTGCAGCAAAATGCTGAATGTTTCGCTGCAGGCTCACAGCAGTTATTGTCAGGGTATTTAAAATTTCTCAGAGCTCAAACAGATTAAGCATATGGGAGGCTCATTCCAGCCATAAAATGCAAATTGTAGGGCTTCTGTAGTCTCAGTTTGCCTTAGGGCTAATCAGGCAAAGGAGTGTTTAACTCTTCAACTGTGCCACTTGATTTTATGTTGGAAACTGGTTCCCCCACTTTGACATTAGTATTTTTAAAGAATACATATTTTTAAAGGACGGCTTTATGCATCAGCATTTTAAAAGGGGACAGAGAACGCCAGGGGAGGCTGAAGGGTTAAACCACCTCTCCCTTCTTTGCACAATCCTGAGGCAAACTGAGGCAGCACAAGCCTACAACTTGTATGTTGTCGAATGATCTTTGTCTGGCCTGTTGGAGCCCTCAACTGTGGTTTAATTGCAAGGGCTACTACCAGTAAGTCCATGTCCAACAGCGATATAACATTTGAATCAGGTATTCCAAGAGGTGGATTCAGAAATGCGAGTTAAGCAAATGTGACTTGTTTTCCACACTCGGCTAAATCTATATAAATAAAGCATCTTTTTGCATACTGCTTTGAGTACAAAACCAGAACACTGGCCATGATGAAAATATATCCGGCAGTGAAGTATCCCCTCAAATTACGTTGCTGTGGAGAATAATTGCACTTTTGAGAGCAGCTTATTCCATGAGGGCTACACACCATTGGAAGGTGAAATAATCCAGGTCTTGGCATAGTATTAATCTTAAAGCTGGCAGCAGCATACGTGGCTACCTATGTTCCCTCTAAACTGTGGAGTCTTGTGAGCAAAATTTCTGCTTTGTGAGCTACTGGCATTAAAGTTGTGAGTGAGCCATTTGACTACTGCATCAATTAGTTTGCTCTGGAGCCATCCTTCCTGAGCTTAGACAAAAATCTGTGAGCTGGAGGCTAAAAAACTGTGAGCTAGCTCACACTAACTCAGCTTAGAGGGAACACTGGCTCCTGAGCCACAGGCCTGGCTGGCAAACATCTGAAATCACCATGCAAATGTAAACAGAATTGGTTGGAGGGCATTTCTCATTTCTTAACTGACAACCTCCAGCAGGCTGGAATTCTCCACCCCACCTTCCCGAAGGCCTCGTTCCAACCCTGAATAAGACATTCGGACATCCAAAGAGAGCCAAGCATGCTGTAGTCTAGTGGTCAGAGTGTCAGACTAGGACCCAGAAGATTCAATTTTGAATCCCCACTCTGCCACAGAGACTCGCTGGGTGACCTTGGGCCAGTCACGCACACTCAGCCTAACCTACCTCACGGGGTTGGTTGTGAGAATAAAATGGGGAAGGAGGGAATGTTGAAAGCTGCTATGGGGGTCCCCATTGGGGAGAAAAGTGGGGTATAAATGAAGTAGTAAAACACACACGCACAATAATCATACACTGGGAAGAAAATGAAGTCCCATTATGTATGTGTGTGTGTGTGTATATCACAACTGGCACAAAAGCAAAGGGGAAAGATTTGGCATAGAGGCATTAGGTAAAGGTAAAGTTTCCCTTGCTCGAAAGCCAGTCGAGTCCGACTCTAGGGTTGCAGTGCTCATCTCCGTTTCAAAGCCGAAGAGCCAGCGCTGTCCGAAGACGTCTCCGTGGTCATGTGGCCGGCATGACTAAACACCAAGGCACACGGAACGCTGTTACCTTCCCACTGAACTGGTCCCTATTTATCTACTTGCAACTGGTCCCTATTTATCTACTTGCTGAACTACTGACCTTCCACAGAGGCATTACTAGCGTGCTTATTTAGAAGTGCCATTAAAGTCTATGGAAATGAGGCCTGAATATATATAGCCCGAATGTATATAGCATACTGAGATGGAAATGTGACAAGTGAATAGCATGTAGTGCTTCAAAACTTAGGAGGTCGGGAGAAATCACACTTCAAAATGTTGCCTGTGAAAAACTCCTGCAAGTAGAAAAGTGGCAAAAACACTGAGCAAGTTGAGTCAGAACGTTTCCCTGATAAGACTACTTTTGTGTTTCATCACAAGTCAGTACTGTCTACTCAGACTGACAGTGGCTCTTCAGGGTCTCAGGTAGAGCTCTTTCACATCATCTACTGCTAGATCCTTTAGCTGCAGATACTGGGGATTGCGCTTGGGACCTTCTGCAGGCCAAGCAGACGGCCTGCCACTGAGCCACGGCGGCCCCCCTCTTTAGTAGAGCCTCAGACTGAGACTGGAGACCAGCATTCAGATCTCCCCCCTCAGTCATGAAACTCACTCAACGTCAACTTACCTCACGCAGAGCCCCTTGGAGGAAGGGCAGGATAAAAATTTTACGAGGTAACATGAAAGAGATCAGGCTATTCTCAGGGTTTGATTTCAGAGAAAAAACGCAGTTCAGAAGAAAAGTGTCCTAGATCATTCAACATGGCTTGTTACATCCTGATTTTATGTCACTAGAATCAATCTTTGGTAATTAACCCCCCTGCCCCAATACCTGTTGGCCCATTTCCTACCACTTAGCTTCGTCAAGTCTGAAGCTTTGCACCAGCCTAAGGAGTCTTCCTCCAGATTATGTGGCTCTCGTGTTGCCAGACCCCCGGTCTGGCCAGGGGATCCGACAGTCTTCAGGACTCCAATCCACCGCTGGCCAGCTGACTGGCAGGGGAAGTGCCACCCCTGAACAGTGACATCGCTGCACGACGTCCCTGTCACAATGATGGCACCCAGAAGTTAGGTCATTGTGTTGCCGATGGGGGTGACGCTCTAGTTTTTCGGCAAACTCTATGGTTTTGAGGGAAAAACCCCATAAAGTCTTGCCCAAAAATCAGAGTGTCACCCCCTGATGTCAGCAATGTGATGATGTCACTTCCGGGTGCCGTGACCGTGACAAGGACGCTGCCAGGGGTGAGGCTTCCCCCACTGGGAGCAAGGTAGGACCTGGAAACCTTATGTGGCTCTTCCTCTGGTAGAAAAGCCACACAGGCTGTAGGGAAGGCTTGTTAGGCTGGGGGAAGGCTTCAGACATGGCTGAGCAGAGTGGTGCTCCATCCCACCACTCCTCAGAGAGGCCTACAATGAAAGGGACCCAGTACCAACCACAGTAGCTTCATGCTTCCATCCCATCAGCACGCTTTGATGCTCAAAAGAAAATCACTCTTGACTTTAGAAAAAACAATCCTTAGAATTTATTGAAATCCAGATTTGCAGGTAACAAATTGTACATGATACAAAAAAGTTGTCACTTTTTTTTCCAAAAAAGGAGAGAGGCAAACCAACTTTCATGGAGGAAAAGTTAGCAAAAAATGAAGCTAGTTGTACTCTGAAATGTACAGCATACACCCACGATTTCTTACTCCTTGCATTCAGAAAGGGGTAAAAAGTCAGGACGTTTTCACGTCAAGCGTCCTCCGTGTCCATCTGTAACAAACTCGCATGATTTTGCAATACTCATTTCACCTTGTAAAAAGGTGTCAGAGGCAGTACCGTCCAGGACTTTTTCACCAGAAGAAGGTGCCGGTGCAATCAGAAACAACGCTCTTGATTAAATCCAAACCCCATTGTTTAAAATAGAACGGGGGAACTCGACAATTTTTGCAACACCTCTAGAAAGGGTACTTCTTCTAGCTTATGACCCCTCCACCCGTTTTTCACTACCTGAGCATTAAAATGTATGCCTGAAACTATGGCACTACAGATGTCTGGATTGGTTTGGACAGCAGAGCGTTCTAGTAATTTAAAAGCCTCTTTTCAGCTGCTAGCCTTCGCTGAAATACATTCCCTCTGTTTCTGGTTTTTTTCAGTGCTCTCAAATACAGCGAGCAATAGAACACAAGGCGATTCGGGTCCGAAGGAATTAAAGGACAACATCTTCTTTAAGTGCTAAGGGCTCTTCAAGTTTACGTTTCTTGGATGTTGGTTCTTCAGTTCTCTGTTCTGCGCGGTCATCAGTTTTCGGGTTCTCATTTATTACAGTGATGCCTGTCAACAGGTACCCTCCTCCACCACTCATGGTCAACTTGGGGTGACTTCGATCCGGCAAGACCTTTTCAAAGGACAAGAAATGGAACATGTCAGCAGAAAAGAGCGAGAGTCCGGTAGCACCTTAAAGACTAATGAAATATGTTTCAAGGTGTGAGCTTTAGTGAGCAGAGACTCACGAAAGCTCACACTCTGCCACATATTTCATTAGCCTTTAAGGTGCTACTGGACTCCCGCTCTTTTCTACTGGAATAGGATGAGAAAGTGGAAAAACACCCAGCCTCACTACAACAGTAGCTCCCAACCTTTTAGGTAGGGTGAGCCGCAAGTCCAATTTTCTTGGTATGGTAACCCTTATTTTTTTTTGGCATCCTAGACCAACGATGACCTTGGCACCTATCCAGCTCAGCATTCCATTTTCTACAGAGGCTAACCAGACATTCTGGAGAAGTCAACAAAGGGCATGCCCTCCCTCACAAGTGCCATTCCAACAGACACCCACCTTTGCATAGAAAGATAACATTCTAATATCTGACCACTCTCTCTTTCTCCAACACTCCCTCTAGCTCCCCCAAGGATTCTAAGAACTCATTCTAGTAACCACCAGGCCACGTTTTACTTGATCAACATGTATATGCGGGGGGCGGGGGGGGGCAAAATGAACCAATGTACAACATAGAAGAGACTGTTTCCAGGGTTGGATCTTGGTCTTCAAAATACGAGAGAGAGCAATGGAAAGGGCAGAGGCGGCCATGTTGCGAAACAGTGCACTAGAAAACGGGTGACTGTGATGGTAAGCGCCCTGCCCTGTATAAAGATTTATCTAATGAAAAAAGGAAAAAGAACTGTGACAATTTAGCGCTTGGTAATATATTCATAAATCATAATATACAATAACAGAAAATAAGTAATATATGTAGTGAATGTAGACGGTGGTCTCCGGAATGGTGTGCCGTTTCGACCATGATCTTCTGAACAAGGATGTGTACAAAAACCGTCTTTCAACAATTCATTTCTCTTGGTGAATGCAATTATAGCCCATTGAAGAACATAGCTGTAAGCATAGCCTCATGATGAAGTGAATCAACAGTATATTTTCAATACGTCACCAAGAGAAATATATACATATATTACTTATTTTCTGTTATTGTATATTATGATTTATGAATGTATTACCAAGCGCTAAATTGTCACCGTTCTTTTTCCTTTTTTCCATTGGTCTTATTACTGTGCCCATTCTTGTAACTATTAAAGGTTTATCTAAGCCAAGAACCATCTACTCACGCTCACGGTTTCCCCCCCAGACTCCCAGGCAAGAGGTGCCCCTTTCCAGGCCTGCCACCCAACTTCCTTTTGAGCTGGAGATTCTGAGGACAGAACTGGGGACCCTGTGCACCCACAACAGATGCTCTACCACTGAAGCACAGCCCCCTCCCTCGTGCAACACCTCCAGGATAGCTTTCGGTTGACCTGAATGTCCTCCTTCACGGTTTCTTACCTGATAGTTGCGTAACCAGGTTTCAGAAAGCTTCAGATTAACGACACCACCCCGCTCTCTCAGTTTTGTGTAGCATTCCAATAAAGGCTAGGAGATAAGAGAACAAATGATTAAATGAACTCATTCGAAAACTTCAAGAAGAACGAACAAAGCTGTATTGGATTCACCTCTTTATATTGGCAATAGACGACGAAAGGCCTCGAGGGAGCAACAAATTCTAATAACGGGAGCAATAAAGGCGCTGGATGGAATCGACTGGCTACAATTAAGCTGCAAGAGAAAGTGGTACACAGGTTAGCTACAGCATCAGTTGAGAGAGCAACGGCTTGTGTCCTGCAGTTAGCTTCCACCTGTGCTCAGGCCCTTTGGTGTGCCTCCGGGAAGGGGGGGGGGAGATGATTCCCCACAAATTCTTCCCTCTCACAGATCCCTCCCCCCCCTGCCCTGTGCTGTTCACACAGGCCCTCTGCCCCCAAGAGTATAATTTTTTTTGGGGGGGGGAGACTCAGCAGCTGGAGGCGAGAGGTGAGAAGGGCCTGTTCACACGAGCACCAGAGTTTATTGGATAAGGAAAGACAATTTCTGATTGGTGCTTCAGAAAGGGCCCTATCCCGGATGGCCCAGGAGGACAGCCCTGTCTCGTCAGATCTTGGAAGCTAAGCGGGGCTGGCTTCGGCGGGAGGGCGGGATAGAAATCAAATAAATAATAATAAATAATAATAATATTTGATTGGGAGGCCACCAAGGAAGCCCAGGGTTGCTAGGCAGAAGCAGGCAATGGTGAAAAACCTCTGAACTTCTCTGGCCTTGAAAATCCTACAGGGTCACCGTAAGTCGGCTACAACTTGACAGCACCTTCCACACTGTCACCACTCCATAAAGGGATAGGGATGAAGTCCTTAAGTATAGTTTTAAAGTGGATAAGGGGACTACTACGGCAAAGACATGCCAGGAAACATCACAATACCCTGGTGCTGCAGGTAAACAGTGCCACTGCTGTTACGGTATGGTGTACAGGTTAGAGCAAGGGTGTCAAACACAAGGCCCGAGGGCCAGAACTGGCCCATCCAGGGCTGTTATCCGGTCCGTGAGCAACTGGTGCAAGGGTGGGAACAGGAGGTCGCTCAGGGCTGGCACCTTTAAGACCAAGTTTTATTCAGGTGGAGCCTGAGCAGTGGGTGTTGCCTCCTGACACATGTCTGGTGATGTCAGGGGGTGTGGCATATGCAAATAAGTTATGCTAATGAGCTCCTGCACCTCTTTTTCTACGAAATGACCCCTGCTCTCTGCCAAATCTAGTAGAGAAACTGGTGGTGGTGGGGAAATGGGGCACATAGGAAGAGGTTGGAGCAACAGCAGGTGAAGTCTGAAAGTGAGATGAGGCCTATCTTAAGACACTGAAACTGGGGTTGCTACCTTGGGCCACCAGAATTTAACGCCG